CCCCAAAACCCCAAAACCCCAAAACCCCTACAGTTTGCATCTAAAATTTGATATTTAAATTAATAACAAACTCATAAATTAAAAATATAAATATCTAAAAAATAATGGTAAGTTCGATTCAAGATCAAATTATTTGAGATTAATTGCTGATATAGGCAAGCCGATACGATAGAAGAACCACAACCTTCAACCCAGATGGTAGACTTTTACAAGTTGAATACGCTATTGAGCATATTAACCAAGATGCTTCAGTGATTGGAGTGTTAGCTAGGGATGGTAAGTGACATTAACCAATTTTTTATTTGCGCTAAGCATGTTTTGAAAAGCTTCTTATGATAATTTCTCTAGGTGTTGTGCTTGCAGCTGAAAAGAAGGAAACTTCTAAGCTTTTCATTCCAACCAAGGAATCAGGAAAGCTTTACAAGATGGACGATCACATCTTAGTGTCTGTGTCAGGGGTTGTAGCTGATGCTAACTTCTTGATTGATTATGGCAGACTTCAATGCCAGAGACATTTGTACTCTCATCATGAGCCCTTCTATGTTGAAGAACTTGTCAAGTACCTTTGCAACTACAAGCACTCATACACTCAATTTGGAAGCAGCAGACCATTTGGTGTTTCATTCATGTATGGAGGATTTGACGATGTCAGAGGCTATCAACTATTCTGCTCAGATCCATCAGGAAACTTTGGTTCATGGAAAGCTCATGCCACTGGTAAGGGAAGTGTCAACGCTATCAGCACTCTCAAAACTGAATACACTCAAGATTGCAGTTTAAAGGAAGCTCTAATCTTGGCTACTAAGGTCCTCGCCAAGTCTATGGACACAACTACCCCAGATGCTAATAAATTCGAGATCCAAATTATCACCAAGAATGACGAAGGCCAGATTATTCAAAGAAGAGTTGAAGGAGAAGAGCTTAATAAAATTCTTGCTGACGCCAAAGTATTTGAGGACAACAAGAAATGAGGAATGGTTAGCAATGATGATATAAATTAGAAGCATTATAGTTGTTTTCATGTATTTATCAATATCACTCTATCTCTGACTCTGAGTCAAAAGGGGTTTTGGGGTTTTGGGGTTTTGGGGTTTTGGGGTTTTGGGG